ATGGAACATGGTGGCCAGTGCGACTAGAATTATAGCAGCCGTCGCGTTGTAACCAAAGTAGGCCAGAGCCAAGACCACGAAACCCTTAACACCACAACCTGGAATAAAAAGATTACAGAATTGATTGCTAAAGGATGCATTTAAGTAATAGATATTTTAAAAGAGTAAATGATTTTTTTGATGTATGGCCTTTGGAAGATATGGTAGTTATTTTGTAAACAATTATTTTCTTGTTTAGTCGTGATACTTACAAATAAAGGTGGCCAACTTTCGTACATTTGTGCGACTCAGGCGATCCGTCCGCAGAAGATAATCGGCAAAAATGGAGAAGACATAGGCGAAAATCATTCGCATGAGATGCGGCAATCCCGACAAGAAGCCCGTCTGAAAGATAGGATATAAAATATAAACTTGTTCAACCCACTGAATAGAGTTCTTCACTCACCGCTCGGATGTTCCAGTGATGGATCTTGCTGAAGTAGGTCGGTGCATGGGTCATCAGTGTAAACAGGCCCCAGATGCCGCCCCATTGAGCCACCACATTCAGCCACACCGGACGGGAGGTGGCTATCGCCAACCAGGGAGTGGGTCCCTTGGCACTTTGAATCGAGGCACCCAAGGACTTTTCGATATACTTTCTTTCCGAATCTGAGATGCGAGGATGCTGTGCGGGACTATCGAACACGAGGAACTGCCAGGCGATGAACCACAGGGTTCCCACGATGCCACAGGTATAGTAGACCCACTCCCATCTGGTCCAGTCGATGATATAGCCGAAGATCGGATAGAACAGGGCCACGCCCACGGAGCTGCCCAAATAAGCACTGACAAACTTGCTGCGCTCGTTGGGCGGAATCCATTTGGCGGTGAGCACGTGCATCGATGGCCAAGCCAAACCCTGGTGTAGAGTACCATATTAAAACCTGTTTACAATATCCGTTCGGGGATCACTTACAGTTATCCAGCCCTGGAACACTCGAAGTATAATCAAGCCAGTGTAGCTCCAATAGGAGACGATCGGTATGAGGAAACAGCAGAACACACCGATGCCATTAGACCAGCCAAATACCAATTTAGTGCCATATTTGGTCGCCAGGATGCCGCCAGGAATCTGCAGTGTCCAATGGGCCCAGAAAAAGGATCCCAATAGAGCGGCCTGCTGCTTAGCGTCCCATTTAAATCCCTCCTTTTCGTATGGAATCTGCCAAAAATACAGCACATTACTCATACGCCCCGTTGTTGCACAAGCTGCATCACTTAGTGCCTTCATTAAGCACTTAACCAATGATTCAGCGATTAGATATACGCACACTCGCCCAGTCCAAAAACCAACGCTCCAGCGAAAATCGTTCATCCAATTTCGTCGAGACTTCGAGTGTACTATTTTGGGTTGAATTTAAGGAAATCGCACCCTCGCCGACAATCATGTCCACAATGGTGATGTTCAGATTGATCCGGATCATGTAGTTGACGATGAAGCCCATGAATGTCATGTACCACAGCACAGTACGCGCCTCGACTGCAAGATCAAAGCAAAGTACATGAAATGCGAACCCCCAACTTGTGGTTGTGCTCAGTTTGGAGGTCTTGAGCCAGATCTTCGACAAACTTCGAGGTAAGACACGAATTTCAGCTCATTCTCGTACCTTGGGCCATGGTGAATGGGTTGGCTGGTGGGGGTCTTCCTTAAATATTGGACCCTGCTCTCGCAGGAATTGCAATCCCTGAGTCTCGATCTCCGACGATCAACTGCTGCGGACCGCTGCCGGAATAGAATGCCAGACGTCGTCGGCTTCCAGCCGATCCGCCCGTATCTGTATCTCTTTATCCCCGCCGCACGCTACTGATAAGCGCCGCAGATCTGGCGGATTATGCTGCAGCTCGGCTCGTGATCGCTCATGAATCTGCCCTGCATGCGACGGACTACGACGAGTTCCCCGATCGGCAACGCTCTGATAAAATTCGCATCAGCTGTTGGACTATCTTTATGACTTGGCGTGCTCCCAGTGGGTTTGGTTATCGCATTACGAGCTCTGTAGACTAGATATTCCAGGAGACAGTTTAACGGCAGGCCGCTAGCTGGATTTATAGCCTAGCAAAGTGCAAACAAATAAGATATTATTGTGAAGAAACAAGCCTAAGAGTTCATTTGTCTGGCAAAAAACCATAAACCAATCCTAACTTTCCTTTGGATTTCCAACTTCTTTTGCAAAAACGGATGTGCAGAAGTTTCATCTTATTTTAAAATAAGAAAACATAACTAGGAAGGGAAATACTAATGACAATATTTGCGTTTACACTTATAAACTCGCGAGTAGCGATATATTTTTATTGAGAACTTGATTCACAGTTTAGCTGTGTTGTTATTGCCACGGGGATGATTTACATGAGGATCATAGCCTGCACTTACTACAAAACTGGTATAAATAAAAAAAATGTTGATCAAAGTCTGCAAAACCATGCTGTCTCTTTTGTAAGAGTTTTTGCATTTCATACAGGGGGTTTCCTGAATTATGCACAACTTTGTAGTAAGTGAGCAACGTGTACTTAGGTAGGCTAGCATAAGGGTGAGACCTACGAGTTGCTGTCTAATTAAATAGAGGGCTAGCAGTGGTGCGAATCTGCCGTCGTGGGGGACACCGTCGCAGGGCGTGGTGCTCCACAAGTGGCTTCCCACAGACGGCTCAGCACTCATCCGACGTTCTCGTATGACATCGCTGGGCGTTCGCTGGCGGTCGAGCCGAAGATCGTGGGCGGATGATGCTGCTGTCCCTGTTGTTGCTGCTGGTGGGGATGCTGTTGCTGCTGTTGTTGCTGGTGGGGATTGTGGGCATGCTGGTGCTGCTGGGCAGGTGGCTGCTCATTACGCAGCTGGCCCAGCGGGAACATGATGTTGTGGGTCATCTGCGGGTGGTGCAGGTGCTCGTTGGGTGGTGGCGGTGGCGGTTGCTGGTGGGCAGCATGATGCGCCTGGGCGGCCTCCACATGCTTGCGCTGCTCGCTCTGCTGCTGCTGTTGCTGCTGATGGACCTTCTCCGCGGCGCTCTCCTCGTACTTCTTCTGCAGCTGGAAGAGGGGCAGCTGTTGGGAGGCATGGAGTGGCACGGAGACTGCCCCAGTGGCTGCAACCCGCTCCACCTGCGACTGAGGCGAAGGTTCTCGCTCTCCCTTCTCGTACTTCTTCTGCAACTGATACATGCTGTGGGACAAATGGGCAGTCACTGAATTGCTACCACTGCTGCTTGAGCTCAGTTTCGAGGAGGTTGAAGTGGATGATGGCGTAGATTTCTCCGCCTTCACGGGCGATTTCTTCTGGTACTTCTTCAGTATCTGCATAAGTTCGGACTTTACGTCGAGGCGTATTTCCTCGGGAACCCGCTTGATCTCCTCGTACAGGGATAGGAGGAATAGCTTGTCGGGATCCCGATTCTTGCGCTTCTTGCTCTTCTTGGGAAAGGCGTCCTGCATAAACTGCAGCAGCTTCTCCTCAAAGGGCGACTCCCTCGATAGCGATCCACCGCCATGCTGGCGCCTCAACAGGTGTGGATGCAAGCCGCCATGAAAAGCTGGGTGCTGAAGCATCCCGGAGTGCGACTGTCCTCCCTGGTCACCGCCGTTGTGTGCCTGCAGCTGGGGAACAGGGTGGCCCTGATACGAGCCACCATTGCTTGATCCGGGTGCATCGTTGGTTTCCCCGTCATTGGTGTGGTGATCCTGCTGCGGCTGTTGTCCCGCATGTGATTGTGGATCCTTCTGGTGCTGCATGTTGTGCTGATGATGACCCACTGCTGCCGTAAGGATGGCATCGCACAGGTGCTCTGGGGCGTAGTCCAAGCCGGTCAGGAAGTTTTCCGCCTTGAGTTCGCCATTCATCTCCTCGTAGAAGTACTCGGTGCCCACAATGTCGATGATGTCGTTGTCCTCCTGGTTCAGTTCGATGCCAGGAGGCGGAGATCCCCCAGAGAGTTGACAGCGCTTAAGCTCGGCCAGCTTTTTTCTGGTGGTCAGTCGCATATCCCGCCAGCACTGCAAGGGATTAAAAGTAGAGTTGGTACATATTTGGTCCAGTTTACTCACCTTCTTCCACTGGATGATGGTCTTCTTGGGGCCAATGGTATTTAGTGCCGCTTGAATCTTCTCCCAGTACCACTCCTTCTCCTTTTTGCCCTCCATGTACTTGGTTTCCCGCAACAATGTGATGAGCATTTTCTTCTGCGGCTTGGTCACTCGGTCCTGTAACGGTAAAGTGCTCATTAATAGGGAAATCCCTTATCCACTCATTTCAACATTCCAATGAATAAATGTCCGTTCTTCTCCCGCCTCGAAAACCACTCAATTGTTGCTATTGTTTATTCAAATGCCAGCGGTGTCTACAATTTTTTGCTGCTCCCCGCAAACACACACACATACACACAGGCCATGTGTGTGTGATTAAAGAATCGAATGTTTCGAATTTCTGCACCCTGCAAATTACCATTGTGAGCTTCTGGAGCAGTCTGCGTTGGCTCGAAATCTTGATTATTTGTTTTTTAAACGCCGACGATTTTTAACTACTCAATTTCGTTGAATTTTGTTTAATTTTTCACTCCGTCAATCATTGCTGTTGCTGCCTTTTCTTCTTCTTCTTGTTGCGTACCTCTGTATGTGTGTGTGCGTTTGACGGTCTCACCAGTTTGACGTTTCGCCCGCCCGGTTGGAAATCAGCTGATGCGCAAACGACCGTTACAAAATTTAAGTGTTACGAAAACAGTTAAAATACCTATTTTATTGATTTAGGCAATTTATAGATTTTCACATCGCAATTTCGAAAATTGAAAATATTCTACCTGAGCAGTTTGCAATCATACCTATAAAATATGATTTTCCGTTAATGTAGAATTACTTTGAATAGCAAAGTAAAAACTTTATAAGTGCTTATTGTTCTGTTCGTAACCATAACATTAAACGAACTAGCATTGATTCCAAAATTATTTTAATATTGACAACATATGTTTGTCCACTTTATATTTTTTCCAAAAAAGACTCCGTTATATACAAAAATTCAAAGTTTAATCATAAAATAATTTGATGCAAGTTTCATTATGAAATCAGTGCTTCGTTGATGCTTTGAAGCGAATACACATACTCTAGAAAATATTCGAATCACACAAACTTTCGCCAAATTTACACGAAAAGTTTTAAGGATAACAATGTATCGAATAGAGATTTCTTATAAATAACAAATTATGCGAATCCATAATCAGCGTTTGTTTGTGGTCGCCTGCCTGCTGACCTGCCTGGTGATGGTGGACACACCCTCCTCGAAGAGCGTGCGGAACAATACGTTGGCATGATTGAAAAGACCATCCTTGAGGGACACTATCAAGAACTGCGAGTTGGTGAAGTGCTGCTTCAGCATGCTGCCAATGTTCTGGGTGTGCGACATATCCAGTGCGGCGTCCACCTCATCCAAAATGTACAGAGGAGCTGGTGAAAACTTCAGCATGGCCAGAACAAGAGATAAGGCCACCAGGGACTTTTGCCCACCAGAAAGCTCCCCCAGACTCTCTTTCCATTTTCCATTGAAGCCCACCTTGATCTCCAAGCCCGTCAAGCAGCCATTGGTGTGAACAGGGTTGAGTTTGGCATCGGCTCCTGGTAGAAGAGAGCTAAAAATTCCGCTGAAGTTCGCGTTGACCTCAGTAGCCGCTCGGTTCAGCTGATCCTGCTCCTCCTCGTCCATCTTCACAATGATTTTTTTTATCTTCTCCTTGTCCATCGCCACAATGTTTCGGCGGCGTTCGGTCTCCTTAAAGTTCTCCTCCTCACGATCAAGAACCATGATGGCGTTCATGTTGAGCGTGCGCTCCATTTTGTCTTTCTTTTCCTGCATCTTCGCCAGCTTATTGCCTGCCTCGTGGGGATCCTCCTTGCTGTAATCGTACCGTGTGTTCTTCATGCCAAAGCAATTTTTCTCTTCTGGGATCCAAGGATATTTCGTCTCGAGGGCTTCCATACGTTTCTTTGCCTCCGTGGCCTCCGTACTGATCTTTTTCTGCTCATTTTCTTTCTTCTTCACTTCTAGCTCAATCTCCTGATTCTGCTTCAGCATTTTGTCCTTCTTGACCAGCATATTCCGCATCTCCTTGTTCTGGGCGTTTAATTTGTCCTTTTGCATCTTTATGGCCTGTTCCAACTCTGTTACCTCGGAGGCAGCACTAGAGCTGTTCGCTTTTAGGGCGTCCAGCTCAGCCTTGAACTTTTCCAAGTTATCAATCATATCCTGATGCTGCTGCTTTGCTGTTTCAATAGTTTTCTGCAGCTCAGTGATCTCCAGCTGGAGAGTTTCGAACTCTTGCTCTCGCTTCTTCCAGTTTGCGCGGGATTTTTCCGCTCTCTGCTTGGTAGCCTTAACTTCGCTGGTGGCCGCTTTAAGCTCCCGTTCGCGATAGCCCTTGGCGTCAGCCAATTTGGCCTCGATATCCTTGATCTTGGCCTGCGATGTCTTCTGTTTCTCCCGGGCGTCTATACTTTGCTGCTCTAATGTCTTGACTCTTTCCTTCATCTCTTCTATTTCGGCCTGGTTTTGTTGAAAGGTCGTTTGTGCCAACCTGCTCTGGCACATGGTAAGCTCGTGCTGGCGTAGTTCTAGGTTCTCTTTCATCTTGTTGAACGAGTGAGCCAGGTTTTCAATAGATCTGTGAAGATAATGGGGTGAGCTTTGGTTTTAGTTATTAACTTATGTACCTACGCCATTTCCTGTTCAACTTGCGAGATCTTGGAGTCAATCTCCCTGTACTCCCTTTCTATTTTCTTGATGGAATACAATTCCTCCAGGACATTAGCACCCTTGGGAGCGGCACCTCCAGATACAGTGCCATGGGGATCAACAACATCTCCTTCCAAAGTCACAGAACGACAATTAATACGCGGATCGTAGCTAATCTACGGGTAAAGGAATAGATAAAAATATATCCTTGAAACAACAAATAATATACCCACTTGTTTTGCTATATCAAGATCCCTACAGATAAGAGTTCCACCAAAACAATACTTCATCACTGGCTCATAATAGCGATCGTAGTTAATCAGCGACATGGCCCACTGTACGTTTTCGGCACCAACTTTGTTCTGAGCGTATTCCACGACATTTCTACTTAGCGAGCCGGACTGAATCTTGTTGATGGGAATAAATGTAACACGGCGCTGGAGGTTGCCTCTCTGCAGGATTTTTTTGCTGGTCACATCGTCATCCGTCACATAACTGTATAACTGAAAGAGAAAGTCAGATCAGAGGTGTTTGTTTTAAGGTAAATCGGTCACCTACATTTCCTCCGGCCGTTGTAACAAGGGCCATGGAGTTTTGCATGTCGTTCACCTGGAACAACTTGCCCACCATGCCGCGCACCTTGCGCCGCTCAAAGTTGGGCTCTGGGTCCTGGTACTGCAGATCATACCGGGAAGCATTGCATCGGTCTAGTTCTCGTTTAAGGTCGCGTTTGCGCATGTGTAGATCGTTTCGATGCTGTTTCAGCTGCTCGAACTGGCCGCCCTCATAATTTAGCCCTTGCAGTTGCCGTTCCAGATTCTTGATCTCCACCACCAACTGGTCATGTAGATTCTTATCTTTGATGTAGGCGGCATCGTTGTTCTGCGTCTCTCCTTCCCTCTGATTTAAGACACCGCGCGTATGACGCAGCTCCATATCTGAGGTCTTAATAGTGGTCTGTGCCTCACTGAACTGTTCCTTTGCCACTGAAACGATAAATTATTATATTACTAATGGTTATTGTTGTTCTTATGGTTTGTGTTATTCCCTGATACTTACCCATCAACTGTTCTTGTAGTGTAGAGGCCTGACCGTCCTCGTTAGTGGACAATCCCTGGGAGACAGCCTCCAGTTTTTTTTGAGCATCCTCGTACGCCTTGGAGTCCGTGGCGTCTGCTTCTTTTAGGCTTTCGAACTCGTCTTGAACCTTGGCCATGTCCTCCTGTTTTTTGGTCAGGGCACGTACATCATCATCAATATTTTTGGAGGCCATGCGAATCTTCTTCTCGTCCTGCTGAATCGTTCCCTGGGCGGCCTTTAAGCTACCCGAGGCAGTGGCCTCCAGTGCCCGCTTCGCGTTTAGCTGTGTTTCCAGATCCTTAATGGAGCCACCCATCTCTGCATCGATCTGCTGCTGCATCTCCTTTACGGAGCTATCGATGTTCTCGACATCTTCAAGATTCTTTGTATGTGTGGCCTTACAATTGGCTATACGATCCTCAATTTTCTGCTCATTGGCCTCCACCGTTTTCAGGGTTTCGCATTGCTTGAGATACTTTGCGGAAATGTGGATTCTGATCAGGAAGTCGATGTCGCGGCAGATCTTCTGATATTCCTGATAGGCAGATCGCTCTTGGCGAAGTTTTACCAGCTTGGGCAGCACCTCCTCGTCGAGCAAGACCTTGGTCTCCCGCACTCTAGTCTCCTTTTTTTCAATAAGGGTTTTGGTGGCATCTCGCTTTGTTTTGTACTGACTGGTTCCAGCTGCCTCCTCCACCATGGAAAGAACCTGAAGAAATTTGTAAGTTATTTAATGGATTTCGTAAGGGGATATAGAGGCCAACCAACCTCTTTGGGCTTCATGTTCAGAACTTGCTGGATTTTGCCCTGCATGATTAAGAAGTTTGGATTGTTGACGTTCAACTGAATCGAACAGAAAAAGTCCTGCACTTTTTTGTTCTGCACCAATTTGCCATTGATGAGGAACTTGTTCTTGCCCCCGACGACCACCTGGCGGGCCACAGAGATCTCCCGGCACTTCTCGTAGCCCTGCGGGCACTGTGCGGCATTTGTGTTGTCGAAGACAATGGTTACAGTGGCCTTGGTGATGCCCGCCTGTCCGTTTTTGTAGACCAAATCTTGAAGAGCCGAAGCGCGCACCTGGTATGCAGAAAAAAAGTTTAGATATAGCCCTGGCTCTGTCCAATAGGTACTCACATTCTGCAGATTACTGATTCCCAGCACAAAACAGATGCTGTCCAAGATGTTCGATTTGCCGGAGCCGTTCAACCCCGTGATGGCCGTAAACTCCGGATCGAATCCCTCAATTTCTGTACGCCGGCCGTAAGATTTGAAGCCATCGAGGACAAGCTTCTTCACGTACATTTTAATGCAATGCGGTTAACCGATTCCTGGCGTCCTCTGCTTTTAATTCCGCGTCAAAATTTTACCGCGATAAGTGTGACCGTGGCTAAGGCGCTAAAATATCCCAAAAAAACCAAAACACACATTGAAACAATTGCATAGGAATTACATACACACAGAAGTGCGAATCTGCTGATAGTCCCAAACGAATCCTAAAATCTATCTACCGGTGAAAAGAAATTATTTAGCCAGCATTATAAATTTTAAAAAAAGTGTTTGAATAAAGTCTTCAACAAGGTCTTATAAAAAGTCTAAGGTCATTTTTTAAAATATCTCAACCACTTAAATTTTTTTATGGAAGTTATAAAAACAAAAAAAATTTAATTTTTAACATTATTAAAATACAGTTTTTATATTAAGCAATAAAAGCTGTACAAATTTCTAAAAACTTTATAATCAGCCTGCTGATTAAAACTTAACTGCATAGTTTATAACAGTAAATACCATTATAAAATCGGATTTGATAAACGATCGTCACCTCGCTATAAGCTTTATTGTTTGATATTAATGCTTGCGAACAACAAGAATGGATGATTTTGACGACGACTCTTTTAATGATGTCCTGGGCTCCATGGAGATGCCCTCGGCGGCGAAGCAACCGAAAGTAGTTGCGCCACCGGCAACAGCAGTGGCTCCAGCTCCGGCTGCCAGCAGCAGCACCGCCAGTTCCGCACCAGCTAAGCCAGCTTCCAATCCGCATAGCGTTCTCGTTCACAGCAAACAGCGCGGCAATCCCATTCTTAAATCTATTCTTAATGTTCCCTTGGAGTTTCGAGACGATATCGTGCCGGATTATGTTGTTGGTCGAACATCGTGCGTCCTGTACTTGTCCCTCAAGTACCACAATCTCAATCCGGACTACATCTGCCAGCGGCTGAAGGTTCTGGGCAAGATGTACGAGCTGAGGGTGCTCCTCGTCCAAGTAGACACACCAGAGCCACACAATGCCCTCAAGAGCTTGACCAGGATCTCACTGCTGGCCGATTTGACCATGATGCTAGCGTGGAACGCCGAGGAAGCGGGAAAAATCATTGAGACCTACAAACAGTTTGAGAAAAGGCCTCCAGATTTGATAATGGAGCGAGTGGAGTCGAACCCGCATCAAAAGGTAGTTATGATTAAATATCCACCATTAACCATACTGATGAAATACTCATATGTTTTAAGCTGGTCGCTGCTCTTACCAACATCAAACCGGTGAACAAAACGGATGCAGTCACCCTGCTGCAAACTTTTGGCAATCTAGGCAACATAATCACTGCCAGCGAGGAGCGACTCTCTCAGGTGATGGGACTCGGTCCCCGTAAGGCCAAGAAGCTGTACAAAACACTCCAGGAGCCTTTTCTTAGCAAGTAGAACTTATTATTAGGTACAGGGTACTTTCATTACTTTGTGTAATTCATTTCATCCATCATTTGAATACTTTAATTTCTTATTAGACAGAAACTGTAAAACAAACAAAGTATAATTATTGTTTAACCACTTAAATATACTACACATTGTTCGGCCTGTTACTCGGTCACTTTCCAAATCTTGATGGTGCCATCATCGCTGCAGGAAATAAGTTGCCCGGCCACGACAGGATTCCATTGCACCGAGTTTACGTCCTGATCGTGGGCACCCTCCTCCGCAGTGAGCTGCTCGAAAGTGGGTTCGTCTGTCTTGGAGTCGCTGGTCTCCTTGAAGATGCGGATTCCATCGTCACCACAGGCGCTGGCTATCAGACCCGTCAGTTTGCACCAGGACACGTCGTAGACAGCCCGCGAATGCTGGCCAGACAGAGTGCACACACACTTCCACACGGTTTGCTTGTCGGGCGTGGCTACTCCGGCTGAATTGCCCGGATGATATGCCCGCCAGATCTTTATCGTGGTGTCATCGCTGCAGGAAACCAGGCGCTCTCCATCCGCATCAAAGTCGATGCTCCAAACTGTGCTTGTGTGCGAAGATAAAGTAGCCGTGCAGTCCCAGTCATTATCCAGGGAGCTCTCGGCAAACATTTTGATGGTGTTGTCGTAGGAGGCAGAGGCCAGGACCTCCTTTGTCGGATGCCACACCACTCGCTTCACGTCCTGTGTGTGTGGATTCAGAACGGCGGCGCACTCAAACTCATCGTCGCCGGCCACCTCCCAGATCCACACGGACTTGTCTCGCGAACAGGTGGCTAGCAATCCACCGGATCGAGACCAGCTAACGCTCTTCACCTCGTTTTCGTGACCCTCCAAGGTAGCGTTGCATTCGAATTCCCCCGAGGATTTCGACCAGATCGCTGTGGTGGCATCGAAGCTGGCCGAGGCCAAGTACTGGCCACATGGAGACCACCGGATCTCGCGGATAGTGCGTTTGTGGCCGTCGGATAGAATCGTCTTGGTGCTCCAAGTGTTCCCGGACAGCGACCAAATGCGGATGGCCTTGTCCTCGCCGCAGGAGGCGAACACGTTGCCCTTGGGATGCCAGGCCACCCCCCAGATGCGGCCCTTGTGGCCCTGCAGTGTGTGCTCAAGTATTAAACGTCCCATTGCTGTCCAAGTGCTATGTGAGTGGATAAATCACTGTCTGTCCGGATTTTGATAACAAAGGCGCATGTAACAAGAAGAAGAGCGTGGCGCAGCGTCAGCTGTTGCCAGTGTTGCACACTGCCGCTATGGAGGTTGCTGTGCTTGGTTTTTTTCCTTCCATAAATCTAGCTTTTTTAATGAAAGAAAAATATATATCTAAATAATTTGTTAGGAAAATTACTCTTTGATCAATTAAATCTGTTTTAATTGTATTTGCAAATAAAATAGTTTTTAAAGATGTGATGTTAAGGAGCATTGCTTAACTTAAATATACTAAAAGAGCTAGATCTAGCTTGAAGTAAGTTCAGCACAAAAGTGGCGTTAGTGTTGTGGAACTCTAGTCGCCCCCTTTCCTTATCAAAACGAACCGAATTCCGTTACCCAGCACCTGTGGTGAAAGTTGTGTATTGTGTTTTTGTGTTTTGCTGATGCTGATAAGGAAATGAACGGATTAATTGTGTTTAACAGCGCCAACGACGTTGTGTACCAGAAACTGAACGAGCCGCTGTCGCAGAAGATCAGGAATGTAGCCACCACCCAGGGTCTGCTGCGTCCCGGCGGCGTCTTGGACAGCAATGTCCTGCTGCAGATTTTCAGCCCCATCGTTGGATCGCAGCGGATAATGCAGTGCCAGTTCGACAATGCCTACTCCAGTTTGCAGTGTGAGCAGGGCTTTAATTTGGTGTTTGGGGATCTGCTGGGATTCACCTTCTTGAAGATCGGACAAATTCCTGTCGAGCTATTGGGACGCCAGATGGGTGTGGCCATAACTCTTACCCGCTATTGTTATGGTGCCAACTTGTTTGCCACTCAGGCGGGAGCCATGCAACAGGAGCTGCTGACGCAGTGTCTCGATTGCTATGAGACTCTGTTGTGGCAGGAGGACCAGACGTACCTACTGGAGGCCATGCCCAAGCTCCTGATTAACGCCGAGCTGAAGAGGACCGTGCATCTCACCCTTGACGCCACGCTGGAGCACCTGAGGCAGTTGGGATTGCCTAGAGCTCACGCCCTTTTACTCGTTTCCCACAAACTGGTGGCCGTCAACAGCACCCGGCAAGCCCTACCGCTCTCCGCCGCCGACCTCCTCTTCCTCAGCCTCATGTCCCGGTCCCTTCAGGCACCAAAGTCCCCGTCACAGCGGGCAGTAGCCGTATTCCTGCAAGGGGTCTCTCACGACGACAACTCCGGCTGCGTTCCCAGCATTGTTCACATCTCTCGATTGCACGGCGACCAGGTTCTCCTGCAGGTCATCGAATACGCCCACATGCCACTAACCAGCTGCATTTACGACTCCTTCTTTGTGCTCCAAAAGATCGTGTCCGTGCAGCATCAGGGCGATTCGGATGCGCTCAAGCCCGCTTACGAGAATCTTGAATCCTTTATTGTCCAAGCTATAAACGCTTTAAAGCGATACCTGAAGCAGCGACCGGAAACAGAAGACCTGGAAAACTGCACTAAGAAGTTTGCCGCCAAGTGGGAAAACCTTCGCAAGATGTACACGGAGTACTTCAAAAACTATGAGCGAGAGCTGCTGGTGAGGATAGAGTCCAATCTGCCCTCGTTTGGAGAGGAACTGAAGCAGATATTTACACTGGCCTGCTGTGACAGTTCTAGTGTCCATGAACTGGACCAGCTGTCCGATACGGCGGCCAATGTGGAGGCAAAACTGCTTGAGTTCGCTGAATTCCTGGCCGTCAAGGCCACTCGCAACATTTCCATCGATGCATACTTGGAGGATTTTCCCGGTCTGGTGCACTTTATGTATGTCAACCGCAGCAGTGGACAAATGCTTGCCCCTGATCTGCGACCTAACCAGCTGGTGCCCAAGACGAAGCTTTGGAGCATGGTGGAAATTGCGAGGAACTATTTAAAGAAGGGCCAGACCACGGTGATTTGGAAGGACAAGGCGTTCCACTACTCGTACTTCCTTTGGTTCGAGGATCAGTCAGGAGGGATTCTTAACACCGTTATGGACTTACAGCAACACTTTTTGGCCACAGGAGCAGCTAGTGGCAATGGATCCAAATCCCCAACAGAACCGGGCGCACTCACCATGGACTATTACCACGATCTGGCTGACTTGTGCTTTCCCAAGCTGTCTCCGGCAAAAGTGCGCGTCTACGAGTTGTACTGCATCCATTTGGGACTGGTCACCGCCACTTGTGCCGTGGAGCATGCCCGACGATTGGTGGCCACCATAAGCGATGTTGTGGGCGAGGAGACATTTTAATGCAGCTTAAACCCCTAAAAATATAGCATTCCATGCAACATTTCCTGAGTTAGCACATGATTCTAGTCAATTTACGAGACTCCTAGAGGAGATATTCCAATCGAAATTTGTTAGATTAAGGACAACTATCCACTATTATAGGGTACACCATAAAAATATTTGTAAAATATATGGAAACATTTTTTCTTCAATCGGTAATAAAAACGTAACAATGAATTTGTTTATTGTGTCTCGGGTTCTTGAGCCTTCTTCAGCTCCTCTAGCTTTTCCAGGAAGAAGGATTTGCGGGCTGTAAGCGGCATGGATTTTTGGCGAAGCATGTAGTTCTCGTTGCCCAGAGCGGTATAGGTATCGTCTCCAATCAGATCCCTCAGAGCAATGTTTTTCTTTAAATGCTTATCGTAGTAGCTGGCTCCAGCAGCCAAAAACTGTTGACCCATGCTGGCCAGCTGCTTGTCAATTGAAGCATCCGTGGATACCTGATTGAAGTCTTTCATAAATGACCAGATGCCCATGCCAAAGAGTGCCAGAATGCTGTAAAGGACGAACCGCACCTAGAGATTGTATAAACTTCTGTTAAAAACTGGTCGGTGATTATAGTTATTTTCAAACTTACGCTCCCATGACGGGCAAAAAGATCAAGGCGCAGGTTTAAGTAGTGACCAATGGTGTAGACCATGAGGAAGCTGACGCTAGGAAAGATCGAGTTGAGAAGCACGCGATGAGTTTGCAGCTGCAGCACAGCCTTGCTTAGACCGAAAACTTGTTCATCCTCATTCAATACGATCGCCTGCTCCAACAGCTTTCCGCTTGGTGAACTCCAATCGATCTGTTGGTCCCTGAAGCGAATGTCCGCCCGCTTGATCTCCTCGGGACTGCCGTAGCCATAGTTCACGGGAATGCCCAGGGCGCCTCCGAATCGCATCTTAGTGGTGCCCGCCTGGAACAGATCGAATCCAAAGACGGTGAAGGGCTTGACGAACTTTCGCTCAAATGGCGACAAGCCCAACTGGTCCAGTGCCTTCTCCAGGCGTTGCTGCACTACCTCCGGCACAGGACGCTCCACGCCATGTCTGCAAAAGGAGAAGATGTTAGGATACCTTTCAACCACGATCATTTGCTCACCCACTGGTAGCATTGCACGAAATCCCGGTAATACTTCAGGCCAAACGTGTGTGGCAGGAAGTTTCCCACAAATAGTCCCACCGTGGTTGCTCCCGCTCCATAGAAGACCAGCTTCCGGCCTCTTTCAGTCTTAAAAAAAGACAGTAATCCCCCACCGGCTTTTAATTTCGGCTGCATTTCAGCACTTGTCGTTTTGTAATAGTGCCAGGGTGACCATCACTGCGCCATATAAATATTCCCTTCATCAATAGGGGTATTCCATAAACTAATGCAGACGTGTTTTGAATTACATTTAAATTAGGAATATATAAATAAAAGCGAGTTAAGATTACAAATATAAGTTATTAAGTTAAACAATGAATTATTCAAGAACCAATTCGGAAATTTTTGAGATATTTTCGAAAAAATGTTGAGATGGAAACGATTTTGATGTAAATAATTAGATTTTGGACAATATCAGCAAGGTCATTAATACGTGTTAATTATTTTTAACTAAGAAAAGGATATTTGTAACAACTTTAAATAAAATTTATGCAAATCTTATTTGAATAAAACATTTGTAAAAACTTTAAATACAATTTATTCAAATCTTACTTGAATAAAACATTTAAAACAGGAAAAGCCCTGGTTAAATAGCAACATAAATTATTTTAAAATAATTAAAGGACAATTCCATAAACGTACATTCAAATTTTTAGATAGTCAAAATAAAACAAATTTAAACCTTGAGGAAAAGATCCAAATATCTCTTTTAATTATATTTTTTCACGCCGTATCTTGTTAAAAGAACTATACAACTTTACTTAAGCCTAAAAGTTAAAACCTAATTGCTGGCCGCGCTCTGTAACTTAACGTCGACCACAACTACGTGGTTCTTGGCCTCCTTGAGTCGCCACCAGCGACCCAGGCGGTGCTCCTGACCGGCGGCCACAAACAGCTGGCTGCCATCGGCATTGAATGTCAGTCCGTTAATGAATCCAGCGATGGGTATGCTCTGGATGAGTTGCATTTTGCGCGCGTTGGGATTCGTTTGCCAGAGCCGGACGCAGCCATCACAAGAGCCTATAAACACAGGGCAAATTAACTACGATTCGGAGAACAAAGCTAAGATTAATCCCCACCTGTTGCCACTAAATCCGTGTTGACCACCACAGCAATAGCTGTAATCCAGTTGGCCACGCCATTATCACCCAATCCATGCGCCAATTGGGTCGTGCATATGGGTTTCTTCTTTAGGGCGCTCCACAAACTGATGGCCCTGTAAAATACGATTGTTACCATTTGCTTAATTCTTTCAATGTTCTCCCATTTACCCATCCATTCCACCAGACACAAAGTGCTCATCGTTAATGTACTTTACGCACTCAATGCTGTCTTTGTGCCCGTTGTAGATAAGCTGCGACTCTTCTGTTATCTTCCAGATGCGCAAGGAACAATCCGAACCGCCTGCAGTGATGGCCCGCTCTCGACTGAGGGCATCTATGCTGGTAACTCCTGTTTGGTGACCGAATCTAGCGAGAAATGCATTTTTAAGGAGTATACTTAAGAGGTTTGTTTACTTTATTACTTACAAACTCTCCACATAGGCCATCTCATCCAGCGACCAAATTTTCACCGATCGATCTTTGGCTGCCGAGTACAAATCATGTGTTCCCTTGCGAAAAACCAGACCTGTCACAGTATCCCGATGGCCTTTTAAAGTCTTGACATGCTTCATCGTCTGCGGACACCAGATTTGGATATGGGGTCCACCTTCGGCCAAAGCCAGGTACTTCATATCCGAGGACAGGCAGATGGCGATGATATGGGAGCGTCTCTTTTTACCCGTCTCGGGCTCCTCGCGATGCGACAAAACATCGAATTTATCTAGCACTTTCCCCGTTTCCGTGCACCATTTGAGTAGGAACTGTGATTTCGCTCCCGCAAAGAGGAATTTCCCATCTGGACTGAGTGCCAGGGCACAGATGGGCGTATGGTGCAGCTTGTGTTTGAGGACGCGGTTCGATTCGCAGGTTTTCAGACTGCCGGCGATATTCCGGCGCAATTTGCCAACGCTGTCCAAATACTCCGTTTGCAGGCGCTGCTCTACGCTTTGTGCCAGCTCCCGATCCTCGGCCCGATCCGCCTCCTGCCTCTCGATCTCCGATAGGTACTGCTTGGCCAAGCGCAGGCGCTTATCCTGCGGAGTCTCCCCTTCGCCCTCGTCGGAGGAGAAGGCCAGGGTAATGCCTTCGCCAAGATCGCTGTTGTACTCCTCATCGTCGCTGGCTATCTCCTCGTCCTCCTCCTTGGGACGACGCTGCTTCTTTGGCACTGGTCCTGCTCCTGCGGGCGCTGATTTTCCTGCTTTTCCTCCTTTTTTGAGAGGTTTTCCTTTTGTTGTCGTTACTGCGGGGTTCTTTGGAAAGCGTTACAGGTGCTTCTCTCTACGCCGTGTTTATCACTTACCTTTCGCTTTTTCGTGCCCTTGGCACCTGGCTTGAGGAAAAAGGAAGACGACATCTCTGAAAATAGCTAGTCCTGCGGCTTTAATTCAATATTTATAATAAAAAACTTAATTTAAATGCTGGAACGGGCCCACGTGCATATAATAAAGCGTGAGGCCAATTTTAGTGCATTTTATGCAGTCAGCTGTTTTTTGATTGCCTGCTTACAAGCTGATTGCTATGAAGACTTCTTTCGCTGAGGTGGTAACCCTGAAATAGGCGCCAATTTACCACAATAATTTATGATTCAAAAACCTTTTATATTTATTTAACATTTTTAACAAAAATAATTCCATTAAAAAGTTCCTCCCCCGTCATTTAAACACTTTAATTTCAGCTTGAATATATATTTTTATTAAGCATTCAATATTTATATTTCGATTATAAATCAACTACCAACTAAAAATCATTAAAGAATGGATCAAATATTTGATGTTGAATTCATTTTTCGGTTTTTATTCTTTCAAATCGGCATAAAAAAATACGCATCATTACACATTAGTGAAGCTTGATGTTAATGGTCAAAGAATTCTGATTAGTTTTCTAGTGTTATAAAATTATCACAAATTATGTATACTCTGTTTTTATTCTGTGTGTATTTCTCTTTTTTATTAAATTTTGCCAGTTTTTGTTTTTGGTAATAAATAAAGTATACGAGTGTAAGCTCCGGATCGGTGAAATATCTGGGTACCTAAAGAGCACGATGCGCCGCTCTCCGGCGGAGAACGTCTCGCTGGCTATCTAAAACTAAGTAACGTGTAAAAGTAATCGTAGTAAAAATTAAATAGGAATATCGCTTGGTCGCTGAGCCGTGCGATTTACATGATCGAGCACAGGCCCGAAGTTTCGATGCCGTTCTGGACCTTCTTCGTCCGCTTCAGCGTGGCGCTCCGCAGCGCCGGCTTCAACTCCACGACGGGTTCCGGATCGGGCTCGACGGCAGCGGGCGGCGGAGTGGGTGATTTCCGGCTGGTCGCATCCGCCGGAAGCGTCGCAGCTGCAGATGATGTGGTGGAACTACTGCTCCGGCTGCTGGTGCCGTTGTTACTGCTGCTGCCTCCGCCGTAACTGCTGCCAATTACCGAGATCGAGCTGATTACGTTGGAGGAAGTGCTGGTCGCAATCTTCGGCACGAACGTGTTGCCGCCGCATAGCACTGGAATGGTGGAAATGGTTTGAATGGCGTTCACCTGCTGCGCGGACTCTCCGGCTCCGGATGCACCACCAGCTGCTCCTCCTGATCCACCGATGACGCTGATGGCCGAGACTTGCGAGTCCGTCGTCGAGGCGTTGGAGGCACTATTATGACTATTACTACTCGTATTCTTAGTGATATTTATCTTTATTTTATTAACTATGCTAGCCAAAGGTAACGCCGGACCCACAGCGCTTAGGTTATGGGTGGACTCCTGCTTCTCTCCGTTCAGTTCCGAATCCGTTGTGGCCGTCGCATCCGCCTGCTCCACCTCGTCCGCCTCGTTGGCGGGCAGGGAGAGCGAGGTCACCGATGCGGGCCGCTCAATGGTGGCCGGCGATGCCGACGAGCCGATGGTGTGCGTTTGAGTTTCTGCCAGGATGCCAGACGATTGAGCAACTTGATCATTTACTGGGGGCGGGGAATAACTAAAGCACTTACCGCTGCTGTGGATAGAGATCTCGTCCTCGGGCAGAGGCAACAGTGACACCACCGTTCCCACGTCCTCAAAGCCATCGTCCTCGTCCTCCTCGTACTCGTCCTTGGGCTCCTCCTTGATCTTCACGTTGAGCAGCGCCGCCTTGGTGGCCTCATCCATCTCCTTTTCCACATAGGTGTCCAGATCGGTGAACGGAATGTGTGGCTCCTGGATCTCCACATCCGACTCGTTGGCCGACTCATTTTGGGGTTGCTCACTAAGCTGCTCCTTGTCTTTCTCCGATTCCTTAGTCTCGGAGTTGGACTCTGTTTTGTCTTGGGACTCGTTGCCCATGTCTGCCCGTGTCACATTGCCCGGAACATATTCGTCCTCGTCGTCGTCGTCGACGATTTCCGTGACACTTGGCTCCTCATTAGGCAGCACGATGACATCGTCGTCATCGTCATCCAGAATAGTCTGCGATGGTTTAGCGGTACCTATTTAAAAACACATATATTACGAACTGAATGATACTAATTCATTAAATGTAAACTGACCTTCATCATCATCGTCGTCCTCCAACTTTATCAGCGTGTCCATGGCATTATCATCGGTGTTGTTCATGTCCACATCCTTGTCGGATTTAACTTCCGCCGGAGGATTTAACGAGGTCTTATAGTCCTCGTAGCACAGAGGATGGTATATCTTATCCTCCACACGGATGGCGCTTCGTAGATGCCATTCCTCGAGCTCTTCGTTGTAGAACTGCTCGAACTTCTCATGACACATGTCACAGCAGTGATCCACATCATCTGTTCCGGCGGCACACGTTGGCACGGGTGAGTCAAGCGACCTTTGCTGCGATAGCTCCTCGAGAGTCTCAATACCTCCAGGCTGGCCCTGAGCCTCCAGGAAGTTCTTTTCCCGCTCCTCCACATCTTCGATCTCCTCGTATTGCCGCCAGTCGTTGAGATCATAATACCATCGTCGCGAGGTGGCTTTCCTAGTGGAGTCTCGCTCCCTTCTGTTCTGACGGAAGTGCCAATCCAAATGCTGACTGTACTTAATGGTTTGCTCTGGCGGAAACCGCACTCCACAGCTGCTGCACT